AAAAACGTAACAATGAGTCAACAACGACACAAAAACTGAAAAAATTTTCTTTTTCTTAATCATCTGAATCATTAATTTTACCACCATGATATAAGCCATGTTTTTTTTTGACTTCGTCTTAATTTTTTTGCTAAAACAGTCACCTAAATAAATATTTGCAATTTAAATCAAGATAAGAAAACAAAGATTAAACGAACTTCATTATTTGTCTTTTTAACATCATTGACAGAATTATTAGTCATTGGTTTTCCTTCTTCAGAATCATCACTCGATGGTGAAGCTTTGCGCTTCGAAATTCCATCACCATTAACTATTGATTTGTTAATAGTTGAATCGAGATAAAAGAAAAAATTGATTCATTGTAAAAGAAAACATCTGATGACTAATTAAACAAACCATGAGCAACAGATTGTTTTTTCATTGCTGATTGATCATCATCTGAATCACTGCTGCTTGATGAAACAGCTTCCCTTTTTGGTTATACTACTAGAGTTGATGTTGATAAAGGTTTAGCTGGTACATCATTTGGTTTATTCTTCTTATCATCTTCACTTGATGAGTCACTATCAGATGAACTATCCTTCTTTTTAGCTGCTACTGCAACTGAAGGTTGTGTAATTGGTATAACTGTTACTATAAACAAACAGATATGTAGAAAGAGTCCAATATTAATCAAAAGATATTTACCTTCTGATGGTTATGATTTGTTATTTGCTGGTTTATCATCATCTATTAAATCAAATTTATCTGTCAGATGCGTTCGTTATTCTATTACTTGGGTTTTCTCGATATCGTATTCGTTCATTTGGATAGTTTTTACTTTTTTCTAATGAATACGAACTTCGCATTTAATCATTGTTCATTTATCTTATCATATTCTCATACTTTATTCATTTCACAATAAAATCTCGTCCTTTTTGTATAATTCAAATACCATTACAAATATTTCTATTCTCAATATTTACCTTGTAAAAACTGGTTTTCCATTTTCACTTAGCACAAATAAATGTTTCATTTTACTTTTTAATAAATTCATGTTGATTTCTTCATCATTATCTTCAATAATCTCTTCTTCAGTATTCGTGCTAATCGCAATTGGAGTTGAATTTGTTCCACTTGTCGTTGTATCATCATCAGCAGAATAATAACTTGTTGAATCATCAGCTACTATCTAGATATCACTGAGAAAAACTAACAATTTATTTCTAACAAAAATGTTTATTTTAGAATGATTCTTACGGCATTTGAAATTTCATTTGTTGTAATAGTTTGAGATGAGTGCATCGAAGTTTTTCGTATTAGATTAATTAAACCAGTTGATGGTTCATTATCATCTTCAAAAATTGCTGATTCTTCTTGAGTTTCTTTTGAATGTTCATAGGATGGTAATGATTCAAGCATTGTTGTTAATTCATCTACAT